CAAATGCAAGTCAGTTCTCCTTAGCCCCTCTTTCCTGCAAGAGATTCTGTCCCTAGTCACATGCCCACCAATGGAAGGGTCTAAGTGGCCGTGTCTGTGCTCTGCAATCCTGCCCCTAGGACCTGACTAAACCAGGGCTGGACACCTGACCTCGGCTGAACCAATCAGATTCTCTCTCAAGAATTGGCACTAAGAACAAGGCCCTGTGAAGGTTAGATCAGTGTTTCTCAAACATGCAAATGAAGCAAGGGTTCAAGTGAGCTGCAGGGCTACATTACAGACTGCTGGGCCTTACCCCTGAAATCTCTGACTCAGCAAATCTGGGATGAGGCCAGGAAACATACGTTTCTGACAAGTTCCCAGGTGATGCTACTGCTGGTCCAGGGACTGCACTTGGGGAAAAACCAAGTTAAATGGTGTTGAGCCCAGGAGCCATCAGGTGATGGACAGCATGCTCAGGAGGGCATCAGGGTGACTCCCTGGATGACCAAAGTTGGTGGGAAGGGGTGCTGGAGACTGGCCCCCAGAGAGCTGCTGGATTAGGAGACTTTAAGCCCAGACAGAGAAAGACATGCAGCACTGAGGGCCCAGCAGGGACATCCTTTTGGGGTGATTGCACACCCCAATTTGAAGACGATTTTGTTCAGAAAGGCTGAAATCATGCATCCAAAACGTACCTGAGGACGAGTATGCTGGTCCAACATGGTGAGCTGCACGTACGTCTGCAGGGTGAGGCCCCATCGGCTGGCATCGCGGTACATCAGGCCCTGCAGGAGGGACGCAGCACTTCACGTCAGAGCAGCAGCTGCAGGTCACTGTTCTCATCAGCCACCGAGAGCCGACTCAGAAAATCTACTGGGGGCTGAGTGAGGCCAAGGGTGAACCCAGCAGGGCTCCAGGGTTCTTAGAACAGGGTGGACAAAGATGCTAACGCAATTACAGGACAGCCTAGCAGCAGCTATGATAGGAGCCTACACACAGTCCCTGGGGAACACACACTCAGTTATTCAATCAGTGTTCTTTGAGCCCCTGTCCCGTCTATCCAGCAGCCACAGTGAACTCGTTAACCCTAAATCTGTTCTTGTCACTCCCCTGTTTCGAACCTTCCAGTGGCTTCCACTGCATTCAGAATGAAATCTAAACTCCTATCCCAGCCCACAGGGCCCTTGAAAGTCACTTCCATTTTCTCTCATTTCCTGCCATTCTCTCTCTAGCCCGATCACTTCCAACCGACCTCATGAGATTCCTTAGTATTCCCCAAAACACACTGAGCACAACTCCCCCTCAGGGCCGTGGCGGGTGCTGTTCCTTCTGCCTGCACACTCTCGCTCCAAATACCTGCAGCACTCACTCCCTGTGTCTAGGTCTCTACTAAATGTCGCCTTATTACAGATGTGTCCCCGGCAAGCCTATCCAAAATATAATCCCACACCCCCACCACTCTCTACTGCCCACAGACATGAACACTTCCACAGTCCACTTGTCAATCATTTCACTCTGCTCTTTTTCACATTTTTGCCAGTTTTTTCTTGATGCAAATTAATGAAACGCCAGTGTTCTTCACTGACAATGGTGCTTTCCCAACTGTGGTAAAAGAAAATCTCGGAAAGGTTAGAAGAAAGTGCCTTTTGCCTGATGATTGCAAAAACAGACACATTTCTGAGTCAGAAAGTCAATCCAGATAAAGCGATGAACTGGGACTTTTCAAAAAAGTATCAATCCTGCCCTTCCATCTAGAGTGAAAACATGCATAAAAATATCTAATTCTATTGCATCATTTATTTTCTCATGGGGGGTGGGGGCAGCAGATGTCATTGCGGTTACATCACTGGACTCCCACATGGGTGACTGGAGTTCAAGCCCTGACCCCGGTGACTGGGGTTCAAGCCTTGACCCCAGTGACTTGAAAATTATGCCAGGTGCGTGTGTGTGTGCCCAGGATACCAGGAGGAGAATGGAGAAGTCATTGTGGCAAGGGCACCGCCCCCACTCCCGGCGGGTGACTTCTCACTTTCCCTCTCACTATCTCTTTCTCTCTCTCTTTCCGGTGAGGTAAAAACCTCAAACAAACAAAGTTCTCATTGGAAACCAAAGATACTTGGATTTCTGAGACCAAGTCTGTACTGTGAAATGTCACCTACGCCTCCTAACACCTGCGACTCTAGTTGAGTTTGTTAGTATCCCGGCCCAGTTTCCTCTTTGACTTCTAAACAGTTGGCAGGTTTCTGAGGTTTGTTATACCTAAAAAAGATGATTGGCATTCTACCTCCACCCACACACACACAGAGGTGAAATGCTTCCCAGGACTCTGAGAGGTTTACCTTATTTAAGTAACATCCTCTCACCTGTTTAGCTTTCCTCTTACCTCTTATGAGCACTCACCATAAAATGCATTTAATTGTCTTCTACCTCCCCACACAGGAATAGTGGAGCCTTAGGAACAGGAGTTGGGAAGCACGTCTGCCACATGGTAGGCCAGGATAAATATTGGTTGAATAAATGAACAGGCACCTTCTAAGCGCTGGGCAGTAGGCCTATGTTCCAGCGAACAATAATGAACAAAACAGACACAGTCCTTGCTGCTAGAGAAGCTCCCAGTCTAATGAAACATACGAGGAGAGGCCTACTGCCCAGGAGATGCTAAAAATGAGGGGGCAGTGCACGCTTCTGAGTCCAAGGTTTAAACCTAGACCTGCCATTTACCAGCTAACCTTGGGCAACTTAATCTGTAGTTTCCTCACCTGAAAAATGAGACAAATTATTCCCACGTTATAGGATGGTAGCCCACAAACAACATCCCTTTCTTTCCAATTTTAAGTTTATTTATTTGTTCCATGAGTGGAAGAGAGAAAACAACAGAGACATCACTCCAACAGGGTCTTGACACCACAGCCCACCCCAAGCCTCAGCCAGCCAGAATCACAGGCACGTGTGTTCCTGGACTGCTCAGGGACATCTCTGGATGCAAGCTCAGATCCTTCCCATGCGTCAGCCTCACTAAACATCACATTTTACCACTGTACCACTGTCCAGCTCCCCAGCATCCCCCCCTTTATTTTTAATACATTCTGGTTTTTTCTTAATCGCCAGAAAATCCAGGTGCTTGCCAGAGAGAGAAAGTGGGAGAAAGCAGATCCCAGTGGGGCATGGCCACACCACAATCCCTTCTCCTCCATTTCTCCATCCTGTCGGGATCTTGGGCACACATAAGCACATGCCCAGCATGTTCTGTAAGCTGCTGGGGCTGGGACTGGAACCGTGGTTGGTCATGTGGAAACCACTTCCCTTACCCACTAGGCTACAGAGTCAGCTGCCCTCAATATGCCTTTCTTAAGCTCTCTCTTGTAGGACCCAGGCTCAAGCAGCTGGAGCAGAGCCTCCTCAATGGGTAAGGACAAGGAGGAGGCACTGGCCCCCCCGACCCGGCTCACTAGGTCCACCCTTGAGAAAGCAGACAGGTGGCTTCAGAGGAGCCAGAAGCAGCCCTGTTAACAGACACTCTATGAGCAAATCCAAAACAGGGTCACCAAGGAACCTGGATACCTTGAGATAGGTCCTGGGGGGGAGAGTGGCTAGGCCTGAGGAGACCTGGGTTCTGAGGGGTTTCATACAGAGGAGATGGGGGTGGATGAGCAGTAGAGATGGACAGTCCTGGGGACTGAGGCTGGCCACTTGGGACAGTTTGGGAGAGCTGCTGGGAGGGCCCTGGGCTCCATGCACACCCACTCAGGCCTCAGAGATCCGTGACCTCAAAACGCCAACATGCTGCCATTTCCTGCCTGCCCCCCTTGCTCTCCTCCAGCTTAGTTAAGACTGGGGACAAGGGACCAGCAGGTGCCATGGTGGTTAAGGCACTGGACTCACACATGCCCAAATGCAGTTCAAGTCCTGGACCCAGTAGCTTGAAACTCACACCAGGTGTATGTGCATGTGTGCTCAAAATCCTGAGAGGAGAATGGAGGAGAAGGGAATGTGGTGTGGCCATCCCCCCTTGGGGGGTGATTTCTTACTTTCTGTCTCTCTGTCTCTCCAGTGAGCATATGCACCCTATAACAAAAATTTCTCCAAAAAAAAAAAAAGGAGAGAGAGAGAGAGAGTGAGGACGATGCCCGGATAGGCCAGGCTCAGGCATCAGCACCACCAGTCCCAGGTGCTTAAGGGGGAGCTGGGGGCTCATGGAATAAACAACCCACTCACCAGAGGATTATGGCCACGAACATTTCTCCACTTGGGCACAGGCTCTGTAAACACCTGGAAGGAAAAAAAAAAAAAAGATCAAAGAGCTGCTTTTGTCAGTTGTGAGCTCTGTGACGTATGTGTGGTGACAAGAGAGATTGTTAAGATTCAGGTGTGCAGGGTGGGCAAAAACAGCAAAGCAACCCCTGTGAGGCCACAACTCCTAGACGCTGCTTCCTTGTGCAGCCTCCAGAGATGACCCGAACACCCCCCTGTCCATCACAGAAATCACCATGACTCCCAACCCCCGAGAAATGGTAGAAAAGAGAGAGACAGAAAGGACAGAGGCACCTACATCAGGGAGGGTAACTCAGCTGGGGAGGCCAGGGAGCATAACGCTGAGATCTGAGGGGTGAATGGTCTTCCTGAGCCAACGAAGCTCATGGAAGAACCAGCACAGACACCGGAGCCGGACGGGCTGGGCGGAGATCTGGCCCCTCAGCACACTAACCATGTGACCCTGGACAAGGCCTTTAGCCTCACCGCGCCCTGGTTCCCTAGTGTGCAGCTGCGGCAATAACAGCACGTCAGAGGGACTGCTCTTCTAAGGATGGAGAGCATGATGAACCCTCAGTACCGTGCTGGCATGCAGCACAGTGTGTGTGTACTATACCATAAATACACTACTATAGCTACAGGAAGAAAGCTCAAGATCTTAGGGATGATTCTTAACCATCTGTGAGGTTATTTTTTGTGTGTGACTAGGCTTTAAATGCACTAGAAATTACGTTAATTGGCTATGCAAGGTGATACCCCTTGCTTGGTCACTGGCTTCTCAGATGTCACACTGCAGCATTCTAGCCCTGCTCCCCAGCCTGACCTTGCCTCCTGCACATGTAGACTCCTTTCCTAACACACAGTGGGCTGGTCAATACCCACACAGTCGCACAGCAGCCATGAGCCACATGTGGCTGATGTGACCTTACATTGTGACTAGCCAAACGGAGATAGGCTGTAAACGCTGTAAACGTACAATACATACCAGGTTCCAAAGACTTTGGATGAAAACCAGAATACAAAGTAGCTCGCTGATCATTTCTGCACTGATCACACATTAATATCTGGGATAGAGTACGTTAAATAAAATGTTCTTTTTACTTTTTTAAAAATATATATATATAGTTGGGGCCAGCAGTTAGCGTAATGGCTATGTCGCTGAACTCCCATGTAGCCGACCGTCGTTCGAGTCCCAGACCAAGTGGTTTAAACTCACACCGGGCGCATGTGCATGCCCAAGATCCCGAGAGGAGAATGGAAGAGAAGGGACTGCAGTGTGGCCATCCCCCCCGGGGGGGTGATTTCTCACTTTCTGTCTCTCTGTCTCTCTCTGTCTTTCTGTCTCTCTGTCTCTCACGCACCCTATAGCAAAAACCTCTCCCCCTCCCCCCCCAAATATGTATATAGTTGATTCTTTCTTTGTTTGTTTTTTTTATCATTGGGCACGTGTAGTCGCTGGACAGAGACAGAGAAAGGGAAAGAAAGAAATCATCTCTCCAGGGAGGATAGTCACACCATAATCCCTTCTCCTCCATTATCCTCTCAGGATTTTGGGCATCCATAAGCACACGCCTAAAGTATTTTTCAGGCTGCCAGGTCTGGGGCTCAAACCGTGGAGTCAGTCATGTGAGATTCAACACCTTAACCACCATGCCCTCTTTTTGCAATTTTTTTTAGCAAGGCTGTTAGAAATATTAAATTACCTATGTGATTTATACTATGTTTCTATTGGACAGGGATGGTCTAGACCCTCTATAAATTATTCTGACAAGCTTATTCGGGTTCTTTACAATACAAGGTAATGGCCATACCTCGATGTCTGTCGTGTTGGAGAAGAACTCCAGGCATGTCGTCTTCCCACTTGCAATATTGCCCTCCACGCAGATCTGACAAGAGACAAATGCACATTACAGCCAGAAAGTGCCCAGGGGTCTTCGGAGAATGACGACTAGGGAGGGGCTCAGGTGAACAGCATCACTGGCTCAGGCCAAGACCTCAAAGTATCACCCCAGATCCCTCCTCAAGCAACCCCCATGGCCCCATCGTTAAAGCCCTGATAACAGACACACACAGCAGTCCTTCACCTTGTGGTAGGCTCGGGTGGTCCCTCCAGACAAGACCCTCTTTTCCGTCAACTCCTAGACCATGCCAGGCTTGTCCACCCAGCCCGGCTCTGTCCATCCCCAACTCAACCCTTTAGACGATGAGATTTTGGGCCTAAGTATCCTACCACCTTCACTGGAGCCTAATTAATAGCTCGGAGGTTGGGAAACACAGTACATTCCCTAGACTCTTACTCATTGCTTTGTACAGGAAAAAAGCCCTCGGTCATGGGCTAGAAAGTATTATAAAAAGGTGGGGCCAGCAGTTAGCGTAATGGCTATGTCGCTGGACTCCCATGTAGTCGACTGCGGTTCGAGTCCCAGACCCCGTGGCTTAGACTCAGGCCGGGCGCTTGTGCGCATGTGCCCAAGATCCCGAGAAGAGAATGGAGAAGGGATTGTGGCGTGGCCATCCATTTCTCGCTTTCTGTCTCTCTCTGTCTGGCGAGCACACGCGCCCTATAGCAAAAACCTCTCAAAAAAAAAAAAAAGAGCAAAAGAAAGTATTAGAAAAAGGGAGAAGAAAATACAGCACAGACTTGCCAAGCACCTGTCATAAGCGAGGCCCAAAGACGGGCCACATATACAATAACCTCACCAGAACCTGAGAAGTAGGTTCTAATGTTTCTCAAGGAAGAGAGAGGGTGCTCTCTCACTTTCCCTCTGTCTCTCCTGCAAGTACACGTGCCTTATGGCAAAAGTCTGAAAAACAAAAGTAATCAAACAAAACATAAAAAAAAAAAAAAAATTACTTGCAAAGAAACCACAGCCCAAGCCAACGACACCACAATCTGAGTGTAACACTCAGGCCTCAGTAACTTTCAAATCCTCCAGGGGGTTTCAGTGCGCAGGCACTGGTCTGCGACAGGCATTCTCAAATGTAGTCCAGACACCTGCTTCAGGAGCAGCAGAGAGTCTTGTTAAACATGAGTCAGACTTTGGATCGGGGCACTCAAACCACAATAGTTCTGACCAGGTTCTGCTAAGCCATGCACCAACAGACACAGGCCAAGTGCTTTGACTCCAGCAGACCACAAGAGGGAGCAGGCATTTCCACATACCTAAGACAAACTGAGAACACATGTTAGACACCCCTGGCAGTCAGAGAAGGCCCCTTTCTGCTGCACTGTGCCCTACTCCTTTACAGCAAGGACTCTGGAGAAATATGGGTGACTTAGATAATGCCCGAGACAGTGGACAAGAGGTAGAATTCACACCTAAGCCTGGCAGGCCCCTTTCTGTGATCCCAAGTGGAGCCTCAGTCACCCCGTCCATAAAACACTAAAAACGCTGCAGGCCATCTTACCTCACCCTATCCATAGCAATTCTCCCTGGCACCCAGAACTCTGCCAGCAGGCTGAAAAGGTTTCTTCCTGCCTCGATGTTAGCAGGCATCCAGGAGAGTGGGACAATCACGCTTCCAACCAACGCTGGGCTACCATCCAACCCTGGGGTCCGCCAGTTCACGCCCTGAGAACCCCGAACTGTCAAACTCAAGACTGCACCAAAGGGCACAAAGGAACCCAATTGGGGCAGGAATGGATTTAATTCTTTTGTTTTTGTTCTTTAAAGAAAACCACTTTTGGGAGCTGGCAGGTGGTGTGGTGGTTAAAGATGCTGATTCCCACATGACCGACTATGGGTTCAAGTCCCAGACCTGGCAGCTTACTTTCTCACTTTCCCTTTCTCTCTCTCTCTGCCTTTCCGGTCAAATCAAAATAATAATAATAATAACAATAACAAATGGAATTAAATAAATATTTTTAAAAAAACACTTTTCCTCTTCCTGGATATTTAGAGATCAACCTGAATGTTATTCGTCATATGACAGGCTTTATTTCTCTCCTGTTCACTGCCAGGACTTTACAGGATGTCATTCAGATATGACCCTCTCCCAAAAACACTTGTTTCTGGGGCCAGCAGATGGCACAGCAGTTATGGGGATGGAATCTCACATGCCCACCACAGTCTGAGTCCCGGACCTGGTGGCTTGAAACTCATGCTGGGCATGTGTGCATGCATGTGTGCCTAAGATCCCAGGAGGAGGATGGAGAAGAAGGGATTGCAGCATGCCATCCCCACTGGAGGATGATTTTTCAATCTCCCTCTCATTGTCTCTTTCTCTCTCTATGGCAAGAGCACATGCCCTAAGGTAAAAACTTCTTAAAAACAAAACACTTGCTGCTATTCCCACCATGACATCCCGAGTGGCTGATGAATGGAAGGCCTTGAATGAGTGCAGGTGATCTGCCCTCTGGTTTAGAGTAGGCAAGGCAGGAATTCTCGCCACTACTTCCTCTTTCATAGAAGGGGGGAAAGGAACCAAGCAAAGGAAGTCTCTACATTTTTTTTTAAGAATTACTTAATTTTTTATTTATTCATTTATTTTAATTTGACCAGAGAGAGAGACAGGGAGGGTGGTGGTGGTGAGAAAGGAAGCCACCAGGTCTGGGACTTGAACCATAGTTGGCCATGTGGGAGTGTCCAGTGCCTTAACCACCACATCACCTGCAGTCCCCTATATATTTCTTTTTAAAGTAATGTTTAGGGACCAGCAGATGGCATAATGGTTACATCACTGGACTCCCATGTAGTCGACCACGGTTTGAGTCCTGAACCCAGTAGCTTAAAACTTGCTCTGGGCGTGAGAAATCGCCCCCAGGGGGGAAAGCCACGCCACAGTCCCTTCTCCTCCATTCTCCTCTCGGGATCTTGGGCACGCACGCACATGTGTCCAGCGTGAGTTTAAGCTGCCGGTCCAGGACTCGAACTGCAGTCGACTACATGGGAGTCCAGTGACATAACCATTATGCCAACTGCTGGTCCCTCTATTGCTTCTTAAAGGCCTACTCTGTGTCAGGAACGTGTACTTAGGACCAGTGCTGGCACCCACAGCACTCATGGTGTGAGGATGGGCAGGAAGGGGGTGTTCACCTGCTGTGTGAGCACACGACTGCCCAGTCTGAGTACCTACCACCATTTACCCACATTTTCCCCTGCTGTGAGGCCTTCTGAACAATTTCCCACAATTATACTGACACTGTGAGGAACTAGCTACCATTATTTTTAAACAGCATCTAATATTTTCTAAAACTGAAAGGTAAGCATTCTTACTGTAGGAAATACAGACTGAGAAAAGAAAATATGGAGCCAGATGGTGGCGCAGCAGTAGAATGTAACCCTGTTCGAGGCTGTCCCGCATGGAAGGCTCTGGGTTCGCCTGGCACTGGAAGAGTGACCGAAATGAGCACGAGGCTCCTTCTGGGAGTGATGGAAATAGTCTAAAATTATTAATAGATGGTAACGATGCTGTGCAACTCTTCAAACTTACTTTTAAAAAAATCATTGAATTGTACACTTAAAATGAGTGAATTTTATGGTAAGTAAATTATAACTCAGTAAAGTTGTTTATTTTTAAAGGAACCAGGAGAACACAGTGATGTATGTTCTCTTCACTCATGATGTGACATCCTGCAAGACCTCTGGACCCCACCAACGGGAAAACTCCTACCAGATGTAGCCCCTGGACCTTGGACGTCCAAACCATGAGCTGAATAACCTTCTATTTTCTTCAATTACTCAAGACTCAGGTATTTTCTGCTATCAGCAATAAGAAGGACTAGAACAGCCCCTATAAGGGCACTAATGGGTTACCCAAACCACACTGAAACCAACCCTCCCCACACAAAATGGGCACTTTCCAAACCCTTTTAGTCACTCCTCAAGCTCCAATAATCCACGTCTACCAGAAGGACGTAAGAAATTGGTAACAGAGGTAGCCTCAGGGGAGAGGGTCTGTTCCTCATGGAGGGTGACAGACTTCCTTATCCCTGGAAATCCTCTTATATTTCTGCATTTTCGTACATATTCCTTTACTCCCACCCCCAAACAACATAAACACAAGTTAGCCTACGCTGGAGGGTACACCTGAAAAAGGGACTTACCACTGATTTTTTTTCTTTTTCATTGCTCTGTCCTTAGCTAAAAAAAAAAAAAAAATCCATTTTTAAATTCCATTTTTAATAACACTCTTCTCTGCCCTAATTTGACCACAAAAAGAGTCATTTTTCACAGTTGCTCCTTGGCCTGAAATAGTTTCTCTTTTGGAAATCTGCCCTGAGTGGATAGAGACAGGGAGGGGACCACTGCCTACCTGTGTGCCAAGCTGCACAGCCACTGTCTGGGCCCTGTCGGCACGTCGGAGCCTCGAGTGTATCAGAGTTCTTTCATTTGGTATAAGAACACACTGCATATTCCACATATTTCATATTTATGATCATCACAGATGGACCACCATCAAGTGAAATCCTAGAGTGGCTTTCACGTACAGCGCACCGGTAGGCAGGTGGTGGGCTGGGGTTTAAGCCTGGGACCCCGGTATCCCTCTAGGTCCGGGCTGACATCATAGCCCACCCACCCCCACACGTGGTGCTGGGGCTCCTCTCAACAGCCCATCCCTGAACCCCAGAACTTGGCTAAAATGGTGGCTCTCACTTCTGCAGGTTAGGGCGCCCATGCCCAGGAAGGGCAGGAGGGCTCGGAGCCTAACCCCCACCTGGCCCACCACCTGCTGTCACCAGCGTCCTCCGAGGACGAGTGAAATGTCCCCAGCTCCTGAAGGCCGAAAGCACTGGACCAGGAAATGGGCCGGAGGACCTGGGCCTGTGCGGGAACGCTTCGGGCAGCCCCGCTCCACGTTTCCCCAGACCAGATGCGAGACAGTCCGGGCCCCACCGCTGCTCACATCCGGGTACCGGCCAATAACGCCCCTGCCGCCTGCTGCTGCCCAAGAAGGTAATCCCGACTCCGAGGTGGAGTCTCGGGTTCACGCAGGTCCCTCGAGCTGAGCGGCGGAGTTGGGGGACCCCGGCGATGCGGGAACAAGACACGAGTTACCCGAAGGCCAGGCCCAGCGCTGTGCCCCCCGTGGCCTGGTGCCCGAGGCGGGGGTCCCGGAGTTCCCAAGCCCTGCACATCGCAGCGCCCGGGCGACCCAGCCCGGCAGCGGCCGGAGCAGCATGGCCCGGCGGGCGGATCCTGCGGCCACGGTTTCCTTCCTGTACGAGTCAGCGCGAGCGCGGCCCGCAGCTAATCCACTGGTGCCCGGCCCTTAAAGAGACCCCGTCACATTTCACCTTCGGCTAGAGGGGAAATATCTGGGCTGAGGGGTTGACGGCTTCAAGCCAGGAAGTCTTCCCGCTGCTAGGATGCTGGCAGAATGCACCTATAACTCACCAGACTTGAGTAGGATGGCTAATTAAATGCCAGCGACTCACTGGTTAATTAATGATTACAGATTATTGGGCGGGTCCCATTGCCTAGTGGTTAAGGAAGCAGGATCCCACGGGGGTGGGGGGTGGAGGTAACCTATCAGAGGGTGGAGGCTTGATCTCAGCAGGATGGAGAAATGGAAAAGGGATTGCAGAATGGTCACACCCCAGGGGAAGGGATGCTTTCTCCTAGTATCTCTCTCTCTTTTTCTCTCAGTCAGTGCATGCACCGTCTGCCAATTAAAAAAAAAAATTATTGCAGGTTACTTCATTGGACACTCACTCTATCCAGACACTGGGCACATGCACTCACAATGTTATTTATTCCTCTCAGCAACCCTATAAGTAATTACAGTGGTCCCTGTGGTTGGAGGTGAAGGGACATCCCCCCACCCCCACACACACACACATCCACAGATATGTGGATGCTCAAGTCTCTTATATAAAAGTGTAGCATTTACATATAACCTATGCACATCCTCTCCTATACTTTAAATTACCTATAGGTTACTTATAACACCTAACAGAATCTAAGTACCATGTAAATAGCTGTTATACCACACTGTTTAGTGAACAACGACAAGTGTGTACACATTCGGTGCAGATGCAACGATCATACGCCTGACCACATAGGACTGTCACTTCACTCCTATTCTCCAAGCCGCCCTGGAAGAAAGAAAGGTAACTTGGTCAAAATGATCAGAAGCCTTCCTTAAGAGGAGAATTGAAATTCCAGCCCATCTGCCTTGCTTTGCAGCCCACCCTCTTTCCTCAATATTGACATTTCCAGGGTCTGGACTCTGAATGGAGTCAATATTCCAACTGCACAAGTTGGGAGTGGGGAGGAAGCTGGCAAGTTCTGTCTGTAGTTAGGCATGAAAAATTCAGCCTGCCTGGGAGGTAGATGGGGTATTACAATTCAACAGGCTCAGGCCCAGCAACCCAGGCTGTTATGACCCTTGACTATACAGAGAGGGATTCCCACTTTTCCTGGGAACGCAAGAGCTGACAGTTGTGTCTTGGCAAAGAGAAGTAAATCTTCTGTGAGAGGGTTCTCTTAGCCTCTAGATCTGTACCAGAAAGCCACCACTCAGCTCATGCTTCCTGCATATCTATCACATACCCAGCAAGGGTAAGTACACACTCCATAAATCAATTTCAGTATGAAAGTCAGCATATTTGTGAGTGATAAGCCCCTGGGAGGATCCCATCTGAAAGAACGGAATGGACTGATTCTGAGATGGGCAGGATCCACAGACAGAATGGGGTGATGCCAAATTATCCAAGACAGAATTTCAATCACATAAGAGGAGCAACATACACTTCACACCCCTAAAAAGAAACACTCCAAGAGAACTTCATAGGAGTACTAGTGAAAAACACAAACTAAATTCAAGCATCTAAAGGGCAACGGGCTATTCTAGGGAAAAGTCGTATCAGTGGGAGGCCAAAGGAAAAATATGCAGAATCAAGAGGCTCACATATATCCAGACATCCCGCCCAGGTAGGGTCTGAGATCCAGGCCATTATGCGTACTCTTCACCTGCTGTGCATCAGACCCTGGGGACCCGAAGCAGACAGATGAGTCCCTCCTATTCTGGAATTTACGTTCTTATGTATCAGTTATTGATAAATGTTGAGTGATGACGACTACTAGAAGTGGAGTGGCCAAGGGAAATCCTCTGAGTAGGCAGCATTTGAGATGCACCAGGTCTGGCAAGGCAGAGCAGCTACTTCTGGATCTCCCTTGCCTCCTCCCTTGCTCTGCCACGCCAACCCTGGGAGCGTTGCGCAACAGGAAAGCTCCCCAAGAGAAGTGTAGAGCTGTGCGTCTTTGTGCTCGGCAGGCCTATGTGGGACCCCTAGGTTCACCAACATGCAGCCCTAAAGAGAGCAGGAGACAGTGCAACAGCCACCAGTTGGCGGCTCCCATGAGGCGCATGCGCAGGAGTGCAGGGCGCGGCGCCGAGCGCATGCGCGCGCAAGAGCGGAAAGTCGAGAAGGGCGGTGCGCGGTAGCTGCGGCGGCGGTTGCTGTAGCGGCGCTAGGCTTGGCTGGGAGGTAAGCGGAGCAGGAAGTTTAGAGGGGCGGCTGCTGTCGAGTCTGCCGGCACGATGGAGATCGTGCACCTGAAACTGAAACATCGTCCCTTCTGCTTCAGCGTAAAAGGCCACGTAAAGATGCTGCGGCTGGTGAGGCTCCGAGCTGGGCAGGGGGCGGTGTCCAAGCGCTGGAGGGTGCGAGATGTGACTGTGAAGTGTGTGAAGCTATGAAGTGGGAAGGGAGTTCCTGTTTGCTCTTTCAGCCTGTTTTTGTTGTTAAGGCCTCCCTCCAGAAGCAAAGCGTTTCCCTCTACCCCTTGCAGGAAGGCACCGAGTGAGATAAGGCACCTGAGGTTTTGGGGACACACTTATTAGTCAGAATCAGCAGGTCTACCATAATGGTTTGTTCTTGAACCCACATACCAGGTACCCAGGATAGCAGGCTGTAGTTATACCCTCAGAAGTTACACGATTTAAAAATAACAATAATAATAAAGCTCTTAGGGCTTTGGGTGGATTCGGTTTGCTTAGAGAAGTGGAAAGTGCCCTAGTTGAAGGAATCTATCATGGAAACTATCATAGTTGAAGGAATTAAAAAGGAGAAGAACTTAAGGGGCAGGAAAAAGTTAACTTTTAAAGGATTGACTTGTAAGAGGTAAGGTGGAAAGAGTTACAAGTGATAGGGAAACATTTCTAGTTATTATGAGAAAGAAACTTTGTATTGGGGACATTCCCGAAATGAAATGGCCACTTGGGAAAGCAGTAAATTCTCAGACAGCAAAGGTGGCAGACATTTATTCATGAACACTTGGTGAGAATGTGGCAAAGGAGACTGAGGAGAACGAGTTGTAGATAAGAAATTGTATATAAGAAACTTCCCATATCAAAGGCTGTAATTCTAAGAAAGTGCTATAATACAAGGTAGAATGTATAAGATTTCCCTGCTCAAGAAGAGTGGAGTGGGTGACATATCACTCCCTGACCCCACAATATACTATAAAGCTATAATAAAACAGCATGGTATTGGCACAAAAACAGACAGGTGGACCAATGGAATAGAATAGAGACCCCAGAAATAAACTCCAAAGCTTACAGCCAACTGATTTTTGACAAAGGATGCCGGTCAATCCACTGGGAAAAGGTAAACCTCTTTAGTAAATGGTGCTGGATAAACTGGGTATCCACCTGCAGGAAGATGAAACTGAATCCCCATCTTTCACCATTAATAAAAATTAACTCAAAATGGGTCAGAGATCGAAACCTAAGACCTCAAACTATAAAACTACTGGTGGAAAATACTAGGGAAACTCTGGGAGACGTTGGGGTAGACAAATATGTCTTAAATAAGACTCCCAAAGCACAGGCAACAATCCCTCAATTAGACAAGTGGGACTATATCATACTAAGAAGTTACTGCATAGTAAAGGACACAGTAATTAGAGTGAATCGACAACTCTCAGAATGGGAGAATATTTTTGTAAAATATGCCTCAGACAAGGGACGGATAACCAGAATACACAGGGAACTTCAGTGGCTTACTCAAAAAATTATTAACCCAATTAAAAGATGGGAAAATGAGCTGAACAAAAATCTAAGGAAAATAAACAGCCAAAAAGCATATGAGGAAATGCTCAACATCCTTCATCACAAGGAAGATGCAGATTAAAACCACAATGAGATATCACCTAACCCCTGTCAGAATGGCAAAGATTAAAAATACAAAAAGTGATGTGTTTGTGGGGTTATGGTGAAAGGGGAAACCCTCCTACACTGTTGGTGGGAATGTAAACTGGTTCAACCACTGTGGAGAACAATATGGAGATTCCTCAAAGATCTACACATAGAACTACCACTTGCTCCAGCAATCTCACTTCTGGGTATCTACCCAAAGGACAGGAGAATGCTCAGTGGGAAAAGCGCTTGCACATCAATGTTTATTGTGGCGTTATTCATGATCGCTAAGACATGGAACCAACCCAAATGCCTACAAACAGATGAATGGATTGAAAAAGTGTGACACATATACTCCATGGAATACTATTCAGCCATAAAAAACAAGACCCTGGTATTTGATAGGAAGTGGTCAAATACAGAGCATCTATTGCTGAGTGAAACAAGCAGGATATGAAAGATATTGTATTCACTTAATATACACCAACTATCCACACTTTATGGTAGAGACTGAAATATTGGAGGGCATAAAAGCAGTGAAAATAGTTATGGATACTGAAGACAGTGTGGAATGGGGCGGGAGAAGGGAAGAGTATAGAGAAGGATAGCAAGAGAACAAATAGAGAGGCATGACATTAGTGGGACACTAATGGTTTATTACCCGTTGATGATAACATGTATAATATTCTCAACTGAACTGGTCTGAGAAGTATTTCATGTTGGGTGAATTCTTTTTACAAGCCAAATGATATATAGTGATTGAATGTTTTAAAAAATAATGAGAATAATAATAATCTGAGATTATGAAAAATTATTTGATGATGATGTGGATAGTAATGTCTTTGTCTTGACTGATATGCATGGTAATCATGCTGGAAAAAGAAATGTAATACATTGTAAAAATATATGTGATTCAATGTAATATAAAAAAGATTATGATAATAAGTTAATTTTTAAAAAGAATGTATAAGAATTACAAAACTATCCTGGAGTCAAAGGAACAAAAGATTATTTTGGGATAGAAATAAATAATCAGAATAAGGGACCTGCAAGTCTGGGGTTTTATCCCTGGTACTGAACGCTCTG